GTTAGAGGGTTAGACTTAGGGTACTGGCCAGAGTTAAAGGGTTAGACTTAGGGTACTGGCCAGGGTTAGAGGATTAGGCTTAGGGTACTGGCCAGAGTTAAAGGGTTAGGCTTAGGGTTACAGTGTGGCCACCTGCAAAGCTCAGTTCTGGTGTTCCAGAGATTTCTCTCATGAATGTGGCTTGTGGCTGCTCCTAAGGAACACTGAAGAGAAGCTGCAGTGGTCAGGGACCCATGGGCCCTCCTCCACAGGTGTCTCCTGTGTTTAACACATGCCAGTCTTCACATCCCTCTTTGGTGCCCCCACCCTTTTTTTTTTTTTTTTCCTTCTTTTTCTAGAAGTTAGGGAAGGAGACAGGAGTCAGACTGCAGTGCACCTGTATTTACCAACCCTTCAAACCGTAGTGTGGCAGCTTATTCTGTACATGACCTTGGGCTAGTTAAAGCATCTGGATGGACTTGTAGACACTCAATGTCAGCACTGTGCCGGCATTTCACAGGGCTGGGGCTTCACTCCATGCTGGCTGCTTCATGGTCACAAGATGCCACCACTCTGGCCTTTGTGTCTACACTCAAGCTTGCTAAAAACAGAGATAGCGATCATAAACAGGATTTTCTCTTATCTCTTTCACCAAAAACTTAGTCATGCTTCATAGACGGCCTTCACATTGCACCGGCCAGAATGACCACACCTAGTTGCAAGGAAAGTAGGCAACAAGTGTCCGACTTGTTTCAGTGTCTTTGAAGGTAGCTGGGAAGGCAGAGGATGGGAATGATGACCATTGGGTTGGGCAGTGAGCAGCTCTGGGCCAGAGTCCGGTGTTATCTTCCCCTCATTGTTCTCCTCTCTCTTCTGTTCTGGGAAACGGGGTTGGGCTATAGGGTTGGTTGCTCGTCTTTAGTGCATTTTCTTTCCTAGAATTCTGCTTTCAAGGTGCAGCTTCTTTGATGTGCTATAGACAGTGAGTGGAAGGCTGGGAAATTCAAGACTGAGGCCAAAGGCCAAGACTCAGAGGCTTTGGGATCCCCTGAGACTGTCTCCTCCTTCCCAGAGAGCCACCCAGTGCCTGGACCAGCAGCTGAAGCCAGACTCATAGTGTGAGGGTGTGTGTGTGTGTGTGTGTGTGTGTGTGTGTGTGTGTGTGCATGGGGGTTTCAATTTTCCCTGGTTGGCTCAAGAACAGAGTTCTTAGGTGGGCATGGTGGTGCATTCCTATAATTTAAGTACTTGGGTAAGCTGAGGCGGGAAGATTGCAAGATTAAGCTCAACCCAGGCAACTTCATGACTTAGCAAAACCCTGTGTCACAATACAAAATGGGGCCAGAGAAATAGCTCAGTGAAAACTGAGTTCCAATCCTAGTACTGCGACAAAGCAAAGCCAAACCAAACCAAAGCTGAACTCTGCTTTCCAGGTTCGGGGTGATCCACTCGGTGTTCACCAATCTGCTGCTGTGGGCCAACAGCGTCCTGAACGAGTCCAAGCACCAGCTGAATGAGCACAAGGAGCGGCTGATCACACTGGGCTTCGGGAACATCACAATAGGTAGGGGACATCCTGCCCCTCCTGACAGGGCACAAGGACACCTGCTGGGACCGCAGAGAGGAGTGGTGCAGGGGTGCAGGGCCCATGGACAATACCCTGCTGTTGCTGCTGCAGCTCCCACCCCCTTCACCTCCTGCAGCCATGCTGAGGGTAATGAGAGGGTCCTGTGGGACTCACTGGCTAGCCTGTCCTCTGCACACCCATTTCCCATGGCACAGCCTGTAAGAGAAAGAAGTGTCTTTGTTCTTGGCTGTGGGAGATCCTTGGCTGCTTCTGACTTAATGAGGCCCCTGTGGCCAGAGCTTTCTGCTTAAAGTATGGCTTTGGGACCCCCTGGAGCTCTAATGGTATGCTGTGCTTAATGGGGTGTCATTCACTTGAAGTTTTCTATAACTACACTCAGCTTATAATTTTGGCCCATTTGTATTCTTCCTTGTTCCCACTTGAGAGCAGGTAGTGTTAATCTTTATATTTTCTTTCAAAATTTCGAGCGTTTACAACCTGCCACACCTGTTTTAGACTGTTTGGGCCGAAGCGAATGGGCGGCACAGGGAAGGGCAGTGTGCTGGGAGCTGGATTCGGCCAGCTCTCGGCCGGATCCTGCGCTCGCTGTGCGGCCTCAGCACGCCGCTCAGCCTCTCAGAGCCTGCCTCCTCAGCAGGGTTCCCCTCAGCCTCAGTCTGCTGCAGTCTGGCCGAGCAGCAGCCACTCCAGAAGGGGCATCGAGGACCTCAGGGAATGTGCTGCGCTGACTTCTTCAGCACCGCGGCCAGCGCTGCTCTTGGGAAGGCCCCTGTGGCCTTGGGCCTGGCTCCCACCTGCTGTCCCACACAGTTAGTGACAATGACAGCTGCAAGAAAGCTGGTAGGAAGCACTTGCTGTGCAGCAGGCACAGCTCCAACCTTTCCGTGGCTTGTTTCTCGCGTCATAAGCAGGCAATGTTAACTACAGCACTAGGTGGGTGGAGTCCCTGATGCCCAGCCATGCTCACGCAGCACACAGCAGCTGAGTCAGGAGGAGAACCTCGTGGTGGACCGCAGGGCCCTTCTGTTGAGATATGAGATTACATTTATGTAGAGAGGTAGCTTTTGCCGGCTCTAACTGCTTTAACCTTCTGATTCCCTTCCGTCTTCTGCAAAACGCTGTGTGGAGGAGAAGCTGCTTAGGAATTGAGTGTTGCCACATGTTCTGCAAAAGCAAGCTAATCCATGAACCCAAGGAGCTTCTCCTGTGAGGTGTAAGAATCCTTGCACATTATAAAGCAAAACAATGACAAAGTGAAAAAAGCAACCCAACAGAACCCCACTCTAGCACCTGCCTGGGAGCACAGCCTGATGCTCTTAGCATTTGCTGACCTCTTGTAATGTGCTGTCACTCATGGTCAGTTTTGCCCTGCGTCTACACAATCTTTTGGACTGCAGCTTATAATAGACAATAGATTTTACATCACGACCCACACATGCACATACGCACACCTGTGACATGCACCCTACTTGGTGTTCCCACACCCTGCATAAACCTTACATAGTCTTCATCTTCCTCTATAGAGAGGCTCTTTAATTTCTAGTACATTTGATTCCATTCTTTTCTCCTCTATTTTATTCTCTTAAATTTCCATTCTGTAGAAAAATATTGGTTGCCACACTCTAAATTGATTTTGAGACCCGATAAAGGTTTATGCAGCATTTACATATATTACCATTTGTTCTTACTTGTTTCCACTGTCCTGGTAGTATGGTTATTTTCCTCTAGAAGTAGACTACACATTTTTCAAGGTTTATTATATCTTTTTTTTTTTTTGCATTTAGGACAGGGTGTCCAGGGTGTCCAGGGTCTCACTATGTAGACTGGACTCACAGTGATGCTCCTGTTTACAGACTCCCAAGTCCTGGGATCACAGGTGCATGCCACTGCAGCCAATCTCAATCGTGGTCTCAGCACATGCCAGGGGCAAGGCTGGCATGGCAGGCCCGGGGATCGAAGCCCCGGCCCCTGTACCTGCTTGCAGGCACTTTAACCTGCTGAGCTATTTGGCTGGCTCTATTATATCTCTCTTTTTTTTTTTTGGTGGTACCAGGGATCAAATTCAGGACCTTGCACTTGCCAGCAGGCGCTTATGTCTCTAAGCTATCTCCCCAGCCCCTGCATTATGTGGTTGTGTCAACATGCACTTAATTTCTGAATCGTTGAACATAAAGCTCCCCTTCCCCACACAGGCACAGATTTCCCAATGTTCTGATTCCATCTCTGGGCCTCTAGGAATGCAGAGCAGGTGGAGTCAGGGGTGCCCTGTGGATCTGCACCATTGCCAGCCCTTCCTTGATGCTTGATCTTCACTCCCTCGGGAAAAGACCCTTATTCTGCAGCTGGGTATCTTTTATCAGACAATGAAAATTTATGCTCCTGCCACAGTAGCCGGCCTTGGAGCCTTCACAGGAGTCTTTGCTGAACAGGAGGGAGCATTTTAAACAACCGTTAAGAAAGTCAGACACACAAATCATAGCCACAAAATTTAGCTAAGACAGACACAAAAGCTGAAAGAAACTACACCTCACTTGTGGCTTCCCACCCAGAGAGAACGGCTGTCTCCTTCTAGCCTGTGTGCTTCCTGGTTTTCTCCTCTGTCATCACTTCTTGAGTTTCTCTTTTCTAAAGCAGCGGCCGCCTCTGTCCTGCTCTTACACTTCCGGACACCTTCACAGGGCAGGAATGCGGTGCTAAGGCGATGCTGGGATGGCCGCACAGACTGCGAAGTCTGAATGAGCAGCATTTGTTAGATGGCAAGCCTTAGGGTCCTGGCTCTCTGTAGCTGGACACTGAGCACGATGCCAGTCAGGGCGTGAAGCCCTCACTCCGTGGGACAGCCATACACCAAACCCAGCGACAGGGATTTCCTATGTGCTTTTCTAACTCCTGTTGCTGGTGCAACCCTTCTGCCATGACCCCTCCCCCAATGGCCCCTCCCCCATGCCCCCAGCTCCCCGACTGGCCCCCCACATGATGAGCCCCTCGCCCATGAGCCCTTGCCTTTCATCACCCCTCCCCCACCCCCTCCAGGGATGACCCTTGCCCGTGACTCACTCCCCTATAACCGCCCCCTCCCCCATGGTCCCCTCCTCCATGACCCCCTGGTTCCCAGGACCTCTCCTCAGTACCCCCCCCCCCCCGCTGACCCTGTATGTCTCCTAGAGCTGGACGACCACTCTCCTCCATGCAACTGCTCGCCCCCGCGTCTGTGCGCCGCCCTGGCGCAAGGCATGTACTACCTCTACCCGTTCACCATCGAGTACCAGATCCTGGCGTCCACAATGCTTTTTGTACTCTGGAAAAACATCGGTCGCAGCGTGGACGGCGTGTCGCCCCGGCGCTCTGGGTTGCGGCTCCGCGGCATCCTGGCGGGCTCGGCGCTGGGCCTGGGCGCGCTGGCCGCCACCCTGGGCGTGGTGGCCGTGTACCTGGTGCACATCGGCCGCTCCAAGGCCAAGAGCGAGGCTGCGCTGGCCATGTTCTACCTCTACGCCATCGCCCTGCTGCTGCTCATGGGCGCCGCGGCGCTGCTGGGCGTCGGCATCTACAGGGTCGATGAGAAGTCGCTGGACGAGTCCAAAATCCCCGCGCGCAAGCTGGACTCGGACCTCCTGGTGGGCGCGGCTTCGGGCTCCTGGCTTCTCTCCTGGGGCTCTATCCTGGCCATCGCCTGCGCCGAGACCCGGCCGCCCTACACCTGGTACAACCTACCCTACTCGGTGCTGGCGATCGCGGAGAAGTACATCCAGAACCTGTTCATCATCGAGTCCGCACACCGCGAGCCTGAGGGCCTCCCGGAGGACGTGTGCACCCTGCGCGTGGTCACAGTCTACAACGGGGCTGCCGCCACCGACTCCTCTCGCTGCGGGGACTCAGGGGTGGCCGGGGACACAGCTCCCCAGGAACAGCTTGTGCAGCCAGCCGTCAAGGGAAGTCTGGGTCAGCAGCCGGACCTTGGCAGAGAGGAGCAGACGGAGGCGAGGAGAGGGAAAGGGGTCTGGAGCTCGGCCCGCCGGACCCCCTGCTTTCGGGGCAGCGCCAAGAGAAAAGTCCTCAGGAACATCACAGCGTTTCTGTTCCTCTGCAATATTTCGGTAATCTGCCTCAAGAGATGATTATTACTTTTGAGTCAAGTAGTGTCTTTTCCTCGTGTTTTTCTCATAAGGCACAGAGGAAGCTTGTAACGCTAAAAAGTAAAGGTTACAAGGCGATCACCAGTTGGGGCCCAGCCTGGGAATTCAGAGGCTTTGCCTGACTTCGTCTCAAGATGGAGAGACAAGAGGGCTGGGGTGCAGATGAATGCGAAGGCCTTGCGTTCAAAACTCAGTGCCCGCCACACTCTCACTTTGCATGAGGAGGTTGAGCTCCTGCAGGTCAGACATGGCCTGGAGATCTCTGAGCTTGGCCTGGGCAGACCCTCTTACATTTAATGCATTTATTGAGTACCTGCTGTGTGCAAGAAGTATGTAGGGCACAGCCATGTACCCGCGAGTTAAAGGATGAAGAGAAGGACAGCTATTCCCGGTCAGGAATGTGGGTTGCTTTTGGTGAGCTGTGTATCCCAGAGGGCGGAGCAGCTGAGTTAGTCCTAGTGGGTGGGGAGCAGGTGGCAGGTGCTGAGGAGCCAGCTGTCCGGCAGAGGGCGCTGAAGCCCTGCAGGAGTGGAGATTTAGCTTTAGGAGTCTGGAGTCTGGGAAGGGTGGGGTTCTGTCAGGGGAGAGACAGGATGTAGCTGTGGAGTGTGCGCCAGGTGTGAGGATGTAGGCGGGAGAACAGGTGAGGGGGGGACAGGCAAGTGCCAGCAGGCAATGGAGGGTGTCACCTCAGAGGTGTGGAGTCACAGCTCCATGGTGAGGTTGTTCGAAGGTGAGGGTGATGGCACTCTGACACCTTGGTGGGGGATGTGGGGCAGAAAGATGGGGTTTGAGATGAATCTGTTTGGCCCAAGTGGCCAGTGAAAAGGCAGAGCCTGGAACTGCTGAGAGTGGTCCAGGTTGCGGTGGAGATGGAAGCCAGAGGGTAGTTGCTTCTATGTAGAGCTGGGGCCACAGAGGCCCAGTGCACAGGGAAGGGAAGCATGGAGAGGAAGCCAGCAAGGGGGACTGGGAAGAGCTGCTGTGGTGGCGGGGTGAGGGCCCCTCAGCGCCAGAGGCCAGGGGAGAAGCTGGACAAGAGGCGCACTAGGGAGCTCTGTGTGCACTTGGCGGCGAAGGCTCCATGTATCAGGTATCACTGCTCTGTAAGAAAGCATGCTTATTTGCAGCAACCTAAACAACAGCTATGTGTATCGCATGGCTTTGTCCCTGTGTGGTGTGCCTAGCAGTCTGCTCAGGGTCCTTCCCAGGTTGAGTGCTGCCGACTCACCCACATACCTTTCAAGGCCTTGCTCCAAGGATCTGATTTAGACCCACTCATATGTCTTCTGGACAGGGTCCTGAAGTCCCTGTGGGCGGCTGGCCTCAGGCCTCCCTGCATCCCTATCATATGGCCTCTCCATGGGATGGTTCAGCCCTGGACAGTGGCCTCCTTTTGTATAAGAGGAGATGGGTGATATGGACAGCAGATCCTTCTGTAAGGGAGAGATTCTGGTGGCTTCTGTCCTATTGTTTAAGAAGTGAGCTGGTGGCTTCATTGTCACTCAAGGGGAAGGGATCCCAGGCACTGGGAGGGTCACTGGGGGCAGCTAAAGACTATTATGGCCTAAGAGCAGAGGGTAGGACCCTCTGAGAGGTGCTAGCACTGTCATCCTACAGGTGAGGAAACCAGGGTTGGGCGAGGGCTGTGGGGATGGAGAGAATCGGACAGGTTCTGGAAGGATGGCACATCCTTGTAATCCTAGCACTGTGGGAGGCTGAGACACAAGGATTACAAGCTGAAGTCAGCCTGGGCAATTTGTCTCAAAATAAGAACTAGAAAAGAGCAAAACATAGAGCTCAGTGTGAAGGTCTTGGGTTCAATCCCCAGTCCTGGGGCAGTAGGAGGCTTCATTAGGGATTTATTGCAAGGAGGGGTTGGTGAGAGACAGAAGGCTCCTGGCTTGGATGGTTTCCGTGGAGTCTGGGAGGCTGTGTAATCTCATTGGCCAATGGGTATGCTGGGGCCTGTCAGTGCGCGTGGCACCTGTGGCGCCTGGGCCAAGTGTCCATCTTGCGAGTGCGGGGGCTGCTCACAAGACAGATGTTCCTCTTTTCTTGCAGCTGTGGATCCCTCCTGCCTTTGGCTGCCGTCCCGAGTATGACAACGGGTTGGAGGAAGTCGTTTTTGGCTTTGAACCCTGGATAATTGTGGTCAACCTGGCCATGCCCTTCTCTATTTTCTACCGGATGCATGCAGCTGCCTCTCTCTTTGAGGTCTATTGTAAGATATAGACGGGGTCCACAGAAGGCAGCCAAGCCGGCTAGCAGGGAGCTCACCGGAGCCTCTGCGCAAATGCTGCCCAACAAGGGCGAGGCCCTTTGGTCTGCGGTGACTGTGTCCGAGCCTGCACACGGTTGATGCAGGCAGTGAGGTGGCGCAATCCACAAGGGCGCTGAAATCCATCCTTGTTTGTCAGCTCGTCTAAAACCCAAATAATTTTACATCCCTCCAAATGAGACTGTCTTCTGGACCAGGTCTGTTTTAGAAGCTTGTGAGCCATGGTCGGGCAAAACTTTTTCCTGTTTTTCTTGCACACCCTTTTCTGTTTGTCATTTACTCCATGACAATCATTTCTTTGATTGTTTGCATGCAATCAGTTAAACCTTGTCCTTCTCAGAGCTGAAGAGCAGAGACACAAACACACTGGGCTTATATTTTCATTTCTGAGTAGGCAGGTGTCACTTGTGAACAGAGTGACTTTTGCCCTCTGGATGGAAATTTAAATGTGCCTGAGATTTAGCACCTTGTTATTTGTGATCACCTTGGGATTTATTATTTAATATATTTTTTTAATGCATTTGGTACAAGGTCTCACTATGCAGCTCAGACTCGTAGTGATCTTCCTGTCTCAGCCTCCCCAGCGTTGGGGTTACAGGCATGCACCACCATACCTGCTCTCAGTGGCCAGCACAGCATGCCCAGGGGTAGGGCCAGGGTGGCATGTGGTGCTGGGAATTGAACCCCAGTCCCTGTGCTTGCCTAAGCAGGCACTTAGCTGCTGAGCTATCTCACCAGCCCTGATTTATTTTTTAAAAATAAATTTTACTCTTCTTTTTTTCACTACATATCTTTATTATGGAGAACTTGGGGATTTCAGAAAATTAGAAAAATGATACTGTTCAGTTAGCAATTGCTTTCGAACATCTTGATGTATTTCTTTTTCCAGGGCGGTAACTGGGATGCTCTTTATGGGTCGACCTCCCAATCATGCTCCAATGTTTTCAGTTCTGTACCCAGTTTTCTTCTTTACCTAGTAGCATGGCAAAAAGCTTTCTCCTGTATTGCCATAAGCTTACTGTAAATATGAGTTTAATGCTAGTCTATCACGTGAACGTTCTATCATTAACTTGATTTCATACTTTGATTTTAAAGTGTTTATAACTTTGCGCTTTTATAAGTGATTCTTCAAAAATAAAGCCAGGTTTCAGCAGCATTCCTTGTGTGTACAGTTGCTTTCTATGACATCTAGCTGTCACTCTGTGCTGTGAGTACCACCTACAGGCTCAGTAAACTCCGGGGAGAAAATGTTTTACAAAAACTTGCCTCTGTATTGGTCATGTACAAATGAAATAATACAGTCCAACAACTATTTACATAGCATTTGCATTTTATTAGGTATCATTAGTAACCTAGACATGCTGTAACGTCTACAGGAGCTCTGCACATGTTATAGATAAAGACAGAGACATTTTGTCCAAGGGATTTTGGCATCTGTGGATTTTGGTATCCAGGGAGGGTCATTAAACTCCTTCCCCATTTGCAGTAATGCCCAACTGTATCCTTAAAATTGGGATGACAACCTAAAGGTTATAAATGTCTAAAGGTCTCCTAAGAAATAGCAATGTGTGGGAGGGCTTTTTATGGTTTTCTGTAACTATTTTATTTAGTTATATTTGACTTGCTGAGACAGAATCTCGCTATGTATTCCAGACATGTGTCGCTCTGGTGAGGGAGGAAATCAGGCAGACCGGGTTGGGGAGCAACTGCCTCAGCGGGCAGGGCTGCAGGTACACACGACCTTAGAAGTTCTGTCCCGCCCCGTGTGCGCCCCAAACACCTGCACAGGCATCTGAAGGAAGCAGCACCGCAGCGTCGGTTGGATTAGGAGAGCCCTGAAGGTCTGCCAAGAGACAGGAAAAGGAATGGCTGTTCCTATGATGGGGCATCTCACAGGGGCGGATGCCCGACGCACCAGGACCACAGGGCTCTGCCAGGCAACCCTCAAGCCATGTGGAATAAAAACATTAGGGAGCACAGCGGTATGATTGGCTTGGAACCCTTTGCAGGAGCACGACAATCCCGGCATCACTAGCGGAGCCGTGAGCACAGAACGAGATTACAGACACACGGGGAGAAGCCATGCACACCACGTTCAGGTGGCGGGAAGGAGCGGAACTGCTTGGGGACCGGTGGCGCACTGTTCTCTGCGGTTTCCGCGGTACTTTTAATGTATGAGATATTTCGTAATAAAAACAGTTGAGAGGAAAAACGAGAAACAGTGAGGGGGAACTTGGTCTAAGCCACCAGGGCGCACATGCTCCTGCCAGGAGCAACTGGCTCATCCTTCAGCCCGTAGTGACACCGGTCAGACCTGTTAGTCACCGGCATCTGAGGGCCCTGCTCGGCGCCTTTGCATACTCAGCCGTCAGTCTCCGCCTGTCACTGCTCCTCTCTCCCTGGCGCGGCTGCCGCCTGGGAGTACCGCCTCTTGCCCTTTTCTGCCGGACAGGGCCTGGCTGCCCGGGCATGTAGGCTGCTCGGGCCTGTGGGTTGCCCTCGTGGGGGAGACTCTCCCAGGTCATGGAGAGAAGCTGGGGGCACGGTGGGGACCGGGATTGTCATGCTCCTTTTTCTAGCCTTGCAGACCTGGCAGGGACGCAGCTGCTTCCAGTGCCCGGAGCCAGCTCCCTACTCGCCTTCTGGGCACAAGAGGGCGCTGTGAGCCTGGCTATGACGAGGAGGACAGGGCCTGGCGCTTCCTCACTTGCTGCAAGGGGAGCCCCTAGGAAGCCGGGCCCGGGTCCAGCAGGGCCTTCCTCCTGCAGCAGGAGAGGCGGAGCCCGGCCGGTCTTCCCGACAGCAGCACCTGCCACCTGGCACTGTCTCCGGATGACCTGCTTTCCTGGAGATGGTGCAGAGCAGGTGCCGGAAGGTGCTGGGTCAGGTGTCGGCAAGCGGTGCCCAGTGAACCCAGAATGGATTTGACTTTGCTGTAGGGTTGTAGGCGCACACGTGTGTGTGTGTGTGTGGGGGGGGGGGCTCATAAAAGCAGGTGGTGACAGGACCTGGGTGCTGGTGCAGGGTTTGTTGACTGCTGCGGCCGACCAAGGTTTTGTTGCCTGCAGCTGCCCATCGCCTCCTCAGTCCTTCCCAAATCACCGCAGCCGTGCACTAGCGCAGCAGAAGCAGCTGAGTGCGGGTGTCCCCCACACAGCGAGCCCTACCTGCCCTGTCCCCCTCTCCAAGGCCATGCACGCTTCCTCCTCCCTTCCTAACGATGGCCCTGCCACCGCATGGCTTCCACAAGACTGCTGTGTCGCTCACACTGCACAGCGCTCTTCATCAAGAGAAGGAGCACTGAGCAGTGGGTGGGGGCAGGGTGGCCACGGGTCACAGACAGAGTGGCTGGAGTTGCCTTTCACGACAAGCACATTCCCCCAAAGTGGAGCCTCCTCACAATTTTTTTTTTTAACTTTATGAAGAAGTTTATTTTGGCTCTAAGTTTTGGATGGCAAGGTTAAGGGGCCACATATGACAAAAGCCAGAATTCCAGGGTCACCTAGGGCATCATGAGAGAAGAGCCAGAGAGCACGGAGAGTACCCTTCAGTTGTGTCATTCTCCTCAAGAGCTAGGATTCTCTGCCCTGGTGACCTTGCTGAATCCTACTCTGCCCTCGAAAGGAAGGCCGAATTAATTTTCCACCCGCTTGATACCTCAGCAGGGATCACATTTCGACACAGCAGCCCTTGTGGACACAGCAATTCTCCACTGAGCTACCTCCAGAGTATATCAGTGATCACTTCAAACAGGTCAACTTGGGCTGGGAGTGTCATTCAGCGGTAGCTCGCTTGCTGAGGTATGTGAAGTGCTGGGTTGAGCCCTTATTACTGCCCAAAACAATGGCAACAGCCATCAAAATGCAAAATAAGACAACCAAGTCACTTTGATCCTATTCATGGAAATTAAAGCAGTTTTGAATTCTGGAGAATGATTGCAGATGGCACGATGTATGCCATACTCATGTCTTGTGTACCCAGCCTGATTTTCACAGAGCTGAGTAGAACATTCTCTCTGGACTGGGTTCTGAAGCAGCCTGCAGTGCAGTTTGGCTGAGCAGGAGAGGGTGGGGCGGGGGATATGGCTGGCTTCTTCTTCCCCCACGTCAGGGTGATGGGGAATCTGCAGTGGCCCCTGGATGGTAAAGAGCAGGGGAGGCCCCATCTGACTGGTTTCTAGAGTGGGGATCCCTGCGTTCTGCGGGAAGCTCAGTTTATCATGTGCCTGTCATTCGCAGGTGTGCGGATCCACAGGTGGTTGGGGCCATGGCCCATCCTGGGGGCGCCTCATGAAGGAGGAGAGTGAGGTAGCCAAGCACATGCCAAGGGCAGCAAGCAGGTCGTGGGGGCTGCTAGAGGAAGGCTGCAAGCTCCACCTCTGCCTGGAGGCCCCAGCACTATGTGAGGCCCAGAGAGCTCTTCACCATGGAGCTGATGTCACCGAGCTGAGAGTCCCCAGCAGAGGGTGGCAAGAAGGACTTTCCAGGCAGGGAGCTTGGCGCAGGGCGATGAGCGGCAGTTTCACTGCTGGAATGTAGGATGAGTCAGAGAGCAGGGCAGGAGAGTAGGGTGGACCCATCAGTGGCTGAACTGGGAAGTCAAATGGACTTTCCGAAAGCCTGGACCCTGAGCTGTGGAGGCGGGGCTGGCCTTGGGGCTCGGGGGTGGGGTGGGGGTCAGGGCAATGAGCAGTGCTGGAGTATAGGGGTCCTTCCTGGCTCTCAGTGCAGGCTCCACCACTTCAAGCCAGGATAGGCTGGGGCTCCAGGTGCGTCCCGTGGCCACGACAGGGGGCTTCTCCCCTGGAAAGCACCACGGAGTCTTCTGATAACAGCCGTGGTGGTGGTAGCCTCGAAACCCAGGCTTTTGATTCTGCCATTTGTCTCAAGGAAGCAAATCTTGTTTAAACTATGTCTTCTGCAAAAGGAGGATCAATGAATTCTAACCAAAGAGTGTTTGCTGACCGGATTAGCAAAGCTGCTTTAGTGCTACGTCATCTGTGCAAATCCTCTTA